TATAAAATAAGTTTACCATCTAAGCTTTAAAATTAATATTTAAAGAAATTAATTTTTTAATTTAAAAAAATATAAATAAACAAATAAAAAGAGATAAAAATAGGTGTAGAGGTGGACATAAGTCAATTTAGTAGTGGAACCGACCAACAAAAATTAGTTAACCAACATTTTGGTGGAGAAAAAGTACAAACCATACATTGAACCGGATTTATTTCTATTGTATTGATTCGGTGACCAATGTATTTCAGTTTTTCAATTTTGGTTATGGGTTTGACCAAAATACACGTCTCATGAGAGAAACAGTGAAAAACGATGGCAAAGAAGATCGTTATGGCAGCGTTTACGCCACCCCACAGTCAGGAATTAGTTCACAAGGTGAGATCTGTAGTTTTTGGAAGCCATAAGTGCCAAGTTCTTCTGAGATCATTAAAAAAAAAAAGAAAGGAAAGAAAGAAAGAAACATGGAGAAGAGAAGGAGAGTATGCGGATGAAGCCAAATAGGTGTGAGTGAAATGAGGAAGAAAGGAACAAGTAGGATTAAATTTTGTGATTAATACTTAAATAAACTAATTTTATTGCATGTTCAAAAAAAAAAACTAATTTTATTAAATTCACCAAATCAATATTAAATGCATTTTTAAAATTCTTATAGAGAAATCCTCAAAAAAAATTCTTATAAAGAATTCAATTCAAAAAATAAAAATAATTAAAAACACCTTCATTATAAATTAAAATTTTTATTTTTATTATATTATATTATAAAATAAAAATTATTAAATATAAAAAACTAATATAAAATTTTAATTTCTATTTTAACAATTAATACAGTATAATTTTTTAATATTAATAAAGTAATTCAACGATTAGAAATATCAATTTAATATCATTTTCATTGCAATATACTTTTTTCATTACCATTTATGGGCTTTTAAAAAAACCGTACGCTACGTAACAGCATCAGAGACACATATGACTAATCCTCCACCACCAAATTGTAGGGCCAACACCTTTCTCAACATCCAATTTTAAACAAATTTTAAAAAATATACCATTTGTCTATTCTATTCTCCACCAACTACTAAAGTTTCATTTTCCGTGTAACCAAACAATCCCTTACGCGGAAAAGGGGGAAAAACAGGGTTTCTTGACCACTTTTGTTGAATAACTGAAGTCTAGCTGGGAGAAGATAAGATCTTGCCAGAAACCCAGTTCTTATCATGCGGTTTTCGAGGTATTTAGTTCTTTGATCATTTGATTTATTTATTTATTTATTAATTTTTGGAGAATTCTGGGAGGTTTTTGTACCACAATTAGAACCATCTATGTTGTTTTTCTCCTTAGATTCGGTGAGAAAAATCATTACTTTCCAGTCTGATTGACGAGCCCTGATTGTTTCCCAGGAAACTTAGCCTTCCCTTTCCTGGGTTTCTCGTTTTGCTTCGTGTACTCTTGGTTCGGACCCTGTAGTAGTGTGGATGTTAGGTTGTAGATACCTTCCATCTTGGATCGTCCCAATTTTCGCATGCATGGGGTTAGTTTTTCGATTTCCTCCTGTTATTTTGTATCCCCATTTTCTAAATTATTTGTCAGAATTGAAATTTTGACTCAAATCTTTTGTTTCCACTGTTTATTTGAATGGATATGCACAATTAAGCATTATTCTCCACTATTGAGTTTATTGGGTAGGGGAAAAGTGGGAGTTTTTGTGTTGATTCTTTAGTATAATTTTGCGTTTACTTGGTATGGAATCTTATGTCAGGGTATGTTTGTTCTTGCTTGTTGTGTAAGCCACCTTGACAGGGATAAACAACTAGTCATGACGGGGATTTTTCCTATTTGCTCATTCTTTGCTTGAAGTATTGGGAATTTGATTATTTGAAATTGGAAGAAAGGGTTTTGGTTTTGCATTCGGTTTTGTGAGAGCTATGTATTCTAGGTGTTGTTTGTTGGCCTCAACTGAGAGATGTTTTGAGAAGAAACCTTGTTGTTCCTTGGTGTTGTTTTCTGGGGATTATTTCCATGCTCTTACTCTTTGGTTGATGGAGTCTTTTAAGGCTAACTTCAAGGATCATTTTAATGTGAGAATTTCCACCACCCCCCCCCCCCCTTTTTATTTTATGTGTAGTTCATCTTTTCATGAAATTGGTAGCTATATATGATGCTTTTACAGGATGAAATATTCTGATGTTTTTGGCCTGCATGCTCACGCATGTATATGATTATCCCCATCTTATCATGTTGGAAATTGCATCTTTTTATTTTTCTGGTGGCTGTATTGAGAACTAAGTTCTTCGTACTTGGTACTAATCATAGATGTGGTCAATCCTTGTTTGTAACAGAGCAGAGGTTGTTTTGGATGCTTTGGTAAAGACCCAGTGATTACTGCAGTGGATGAGCCATCAAAGGGGCTGAAAATTCAAGGGCGACCTGTGAAGAAATCCAGCATTTCTGAGGATTTCTGGGGCACTAGCACAGGTGAAATGGACAATAGTACAATTCAGTCCCAGCGAAGCATTTCTTCGATCAGCATATCAAACCAGTCACTTGATCCTTCTAGCAGCACAAGCAATCCTTCTGAATTTGTAAACCATGGCAAGTTCTAATAAGTCCACTGCTGACTATATGTGTTTTCTTTCTTGATATATATATATACACCGATGTTGCATGTGGAATTGAAGTTCAACTACCATTTTCTAGTTGCGTTCTCTTTCCAACATGATTTCTGTGTTCCTCCTAATTGATTTTGTTAATTTATATTCCTCAATAATGTTGTCCATTACTTCCAGGCCTTCTCCTTTGGAATCAGACAAGGCAGCAATGGCTAGCAAATAAAAGGTCCGAGAGGCAGACAGAACTTCGACAGCCCGCCATAAGGTTAACCACTTCCATTGTTTTCCTAACTTTACAAGCTTCTACTTAACCTTCTTTTGCATTTCTTTCTGTTTTTATGTTGATGTTCAAACAACCATTCTATTTCTCCATATTTTTGTTGTCTTGTGATGAAGCTCACTCTATGCATGGTTCGTCCTGGTGTTTTGTAGTTGGAAGGCTACTTATGAGAGTTTACTTGGAACTAATAAGCCTTTCCCCCGGTCTGTACCTCTACCTGTAAGTTTACTCTGCCTCTACATAGTTTTTTGCTTATTAATTACACTCAATACAATTTTCTTTTCCTTCATCCTGCCGAAGTTTCTCCACACTGTGAATGAGGTTCAATCTGACAGGAAATGGTGGATTTCCTTGTTGATGTCTGGGAGCAAGAGGGCTTATATGATTAATCGAGTACAAGGAATAACCGAAAAAAGAAAAGAAATATGGAAACTCTTTTCCAGTAATTCATTTGTGGCAATGTTACTAACTGTATTATACTTTTATCTTCTTCTTTTGAATCATTCAACTCTGTTATCCTTACATTCAAACCTATAAATTTAGGACTCCTGGATTGATGGGAAAAATGCAAATATTATTGTTCTTGCACATGGTCTATTTGCAACTAGCTAGACCTTGTACCGACTAAACAGGCCTATTACTATAGCAGGCTCTGCCCTAGTGCCCTGTTCTAAGATGTTGATTTTTGGACTTTCCCAGGGATTTTTGCCCCATCTTTAGGAAACCTTGGGAAATTTCTTCTGACACCGACCAACTTGTTCACATTGAATTATGATTCATGGAGAGATAGTCTTTCTTGAAATCATTAGGAAAAACTGCACAACAGTAACCACTAATTATTTAATGAAAGTTGGGTCCGGGATATTAGGGATTCTTTCTCTGAATATTTTTTATTTTTTAATTTTATGTAATTCAAATTGTAAAATAAAATTTAAAAAAAATCATTTTGTTTCCTATGATTGGTTGAGTAGTTAAAATTTATTATAATTATTTAAATAAAAAACTCAATTATTTCTATTAAAAATATAAATGATTCTATTTTTGTGTGAAAATTATATGTAAATTTTATATTTAAATTTTTAACTCATTAATGAACGCCATGACTCATTCCATGTGTGATGCTTTACCTTTACCTAATATTAATAATTAACAAGTAATTAATGAAGTTAGATTCAAAAATCAAAAGCGTGTTTCAGCGTCTTAGACCTGCCTTTAATATAAAAAACATTAAAATAAGTGAACATGATACATTGCATTTTAACAATAAAGATGTGTCCATCTCCTAACCCTGCAAGTGGGTGCGGGGGCCACGTCTACCTGAAATGAAACCTTTCTCATCAACATGTTTTTAATTATTCCCTTTTTTTTTATTAAATTTCTCAGGTAGTTTTCTGACATAAGTTAAAAATGTAATATATATATATATAATATTAATTAATATAATTAATAATTTAAATAATTCAATAATTATTTTTGTTTGGAAGTAAAGAGTTGTATGTTATACATAAGATAATAGATGAAAGATAGTTGTTTCGCATTGTATAACAGAAATAAAAAAAATATTAATTAAAATAAAAAATAAAAAATTAATATTAATTTTATCATTAATATTATATGTATTATTTTAATTAAATAATTAATTAAATAAATTTTAAATTTCATTTTTTAATAATAATTAATATTAATATAATATTCTTAACATATATTTTTTAAGACATTTTTTTTAAGACATATATTAAAAGGATCCTTTTTTATTTTTTTCTTATTTTTCTCTATGATAGACATGATGTCAACTCTGGTTGCCCATGCTTTATGCATTGTTCGGGATGAGAAGCGGTGTGAACATCTCTTACACCGTCTGAATTTCCTTGCGCGCATGCGAATTTTTAATTGTAAAAAAGAAAAAAAATTATAAATATTTATATTTTTTTATAAATCGGTATGAAAAATATTTTTTTTACATAAATTTAAATTTAATTTAATATGATTAGTTCTTTTATTAAAAAAACAGAATGATTGGTTACAAGTGGTTGACATGGAGTTTAACATATTTGAAAAGAAAAAAAAAGTAAACATATTTGAAATTTCCTCTTTAATAAATACAATAAATCATTATTTTTTTTTATTTATATATTGAAGGTTCAAATCAAATATATATTTATTATATTTTTTTAATTATTAATTTATATAGAAGTTATGAAAATAAATTTTGTTTTTAATATTAACATTACATAAAATATTTTAATTAAATTAAAATTAATTTTTTATATAAATTAATAATAAAATATATAATAAATATAATTTTAACATATACTTTTAAAATATAAATTAAAATATTATTAAATCATTTACTAATATATTTTATATTGTCCTTAAAAGTAGTGATTAGGCAAAAGATAAATTAACCTAACCCTAATCAAATCAATGCATCCCCCACCCAAGAGAAAAAAACTAATCAATTCTCAATCAAGTGGGCCTCACCAATAGTAGGAGTCAAATGAAGCACATACATTCATTTTCTAAATGAGATTCATGAGTTTGGAGACAATAAATAATGTTTGGGTCATGGAGGAAGAAAGGCTATCAATTTTCAATCCTGATGGAATTGAGTGACTTTTTTGGGGAAATAGGAGGGATGAGAATGCTATGACCTGGTCAAAGGACCAGAACGATATTATTCACATTGTATATACAATTCCTATTCCTTCACAAACAATGAATCTGTTTCATGCATTTCCCTTTTTTTTTCTTTTTTTTTTATTAAAAGAAAAAGAGAACAATGAATCTGTAGCTGGACCTCTGCAGCCATCCCCCAAAGCTTAAAAGGAAACTTCTCCCATTCAAATTTATAGGTCTACAAGAAAATTTTCAGTTGGAAAATGATTTGGCAAACAATTTTTGTATA